CCATCAGTACCCAACTGTTTTCACCTTGTTTCCTCCACAGTGCAGCAGCCCCTGCTTTAACTGCTTCTCCAACTGTCCCTGCCAGGTATTACCTAACTGCTCTGCAGTGTTGTGCTCCCTTAAATTCTTGCAGCATTTTTCCCCGAAGGTGGATGTGTTGCAATTGTGGCTTAAGTAATTCCTGTGTATAATTGATAAGCCCTTTGGTAAAGTTTGAAAAGCTCTTTGGGATCCCTCTGAAGGGGAAGCACTCTTATAAATGTAAGAAGATGATCTCCAAAACAGTTTTTCTTGTTCACTGATTTCCCTCCACTTCCCCACCCCATCTCTAACCCTCTCTCCCTTCAGGTCCCTTTCATCAGTCTGCATTTCCCCACGTATCTCCCATTCCATTATGTAAAAGGAGCTTTGAATTTCATTCCTAACTTCTTTTTATTTCTTCTCTTTCAGATGCAGTTATGGACATTATAACCTATGATGATTACCCCAATCCACCGTTTCAGAGATATTGAGAGGAAGCCTGAATACCTTCAGCCAGACAAGTGTGTTCCACCTCCTAGCCACAGTTCCCTGGGAACAATGTGGTTTATTAGAGATGGCTGTGGTATTGCATGTGCTGTTGTTACCTGGATGCTGGTCTTCTACGCAGACTTTGTAGTCCTTCTTGTCATGTTAGTTCCATCAAGAGACTATGTTTATAGCGTGATCAATGGGATATTGTTCAATACGTTGGCTTTCCTGGCTTTGGCATCACATTTCCGAGCCATGCTAACTGACCCAGTAAGTATATTGTTGTACTTATTGATGAACAGGCTACATTTTTTCTCATCTGCACCATGTGAGTAATTGGGGCCACTGGTGAATGGTAGATTTAAATAAGTTCTGTGTATCATTGTGATGAGTAGGTCTGCTGTTACTGTATGCTGACTTGGTGTCTTGCTCTGTAAAATGTAAAAGACCAAATATTAGCTTCCCAGGAAGCTGGTGTGGGCAGCTTCCTCTTAACATGAGAGAGAGACATTCTGCTGTCCTTTTTTCTTGCCCATACTAGATTTCGTGTTTGTGGCCTTTCAAGTGCTGACAAACAGGAAATCTGGTAGAACTTGTTTCAGTTGTCTGTCTTGGCAAGTTTCATTACAGCAAAACAGGGCATAGAAATAACGCGCTGCTTTTGTTTAAAAAGTCATACTACATTTTTCACATCAGTGACTTAGCTGAATTTACTGGAATGTGTTAAAACAACTGTTTTGTCTGCTTCTGCACTAAAACCTCCTAATAATTTCGGCATGTATTTCCAGGGCTTGAAAAATGTTCCAAGCTGTGTCTGGCTGCATTCTAAGCTAGCTTTGAACCACGGTGAAGAAAGGAACCTCTTGCAATATTCAGGAATATCCCCTTTTTTAAGATCAGTCTCTGGCTAGTAGATTCACAGTTTTATCTTTTCTTCATGATAGAGGGAGAACAGGCTTTACTGTCTCTTCTGTCAGAGTTAGGAATTCTGTAGAGATGGCAAGGTCTCTGTGGCTCTAATCTAATCCTTACCCTACACTAGGGGCGGGCAAATATTTTGGGCAGAGGGCCACTTACTGAGTTTTGGCAAGCCTTTGAGGGCTGCCTGACAGGCAGCCCAGGACAGAGAAATATTAATTTTCTAAATTTTTTAGGGGCCCCACGGGCCAGATAGAATGGCCTGGCGGGCTGCATCCAGCCCCTGGGCTGTATTTTGCCCACCCTTGCCCTACATCCTGCTCCCTGAGTGGATGCCCTACTAGGAAAACTTCAGTGATTATTGCTTAGCTGACATTTTCCCCTGGAAGCAACAGTAGCTTGAGACTGCCCTGATTCTTGGCAGTTCCAGTGTTACCATGAAGCAGCCCTGTTCATTTCATTCTCTTTCTGCTTTATAAGTCTATGTGACAGTTTCAGGGTTACCACTGCTGGTGCCATCAGAATTGTGAATAAAGCACAACAGTAGTTTGTATGTAGTTAAAATTTTGAGAGCATTCTTTTGTTTTCCTTATTAGTGTTATCTTGCTGCTTGAGGAACAATGGGGAATAGGGATCTGTTTTGCTAAGCACTGTACAAACACGGAGTAAAAGACAGTCCTTTTAGCAGAGTTTATAGTGTAAACAGGCCCAGGGTGACAAACTCAAACTGGCTGGAGGGTCCCATTCCCTCCTTTACAGGTGCCTCCAGGCTGCACCCTGGCTCTCATGCTGTCAGCCCCATTGGTGCCTTACGTGGAACCTGTGCTGCTGTTGGTGGGGCTTTCCATGATGGCAGCCGGCAGCCAGCATCCCAGCCATCGTGTGTGTGTGTGTGTGTGTGTGTGTGTATGTGTGTGTGTCTGTGTGTCGCCCAATCCAGATGGTGAGTCTTCCCCCGGTGGCAGTCCACACCTCAGTGCAGGGGTGGGCAAAATGTGGCCCAGGGGCCGGATGTGGCCCACCAGGCCATTCTATCCGGCCCGTGGGGCCCCTGAAAAATTTAGAAAATTAATATTTATCTGCCTTGGGCTGCCTGTCATGCGGTCCTCGAGGGCTTGCCGAAACTCAGTAAGCAGCCCTCTGCCCAAAATAATTGCCTGCCACTGCCTTAGTGACAGCTGGGGCACAGTCCCAGCGGCACTACAAGCAAAGTCCCTGTCACTGCAGCCTATGGCTAGGCTTTCTGCAGTGTCAGGCAAAACCCTGGCGAGAGCTGGGATGCTGGCAACCCAAACAGCACTGCAGACAGAAACTCTGCAACCATGGCCAGAGCTGCATTTCTGGCCTGGATGTCAGGCTTCCCCATGGCAGCAGTCAGACCCCTGGCTTTTGTCAGGATGTGGGCAGCTTTGTCTGCATCATGGGCAGAAGCCTCTTCATTGCATCCAGAGCCAGGGCTTCTCATGGTACCAGCAAGAGCAGGGCATTGGCTACTGCCCAGTAGCACCATAGGAATATCCCACCACCACAGCCATAGCCCTAGTTTTGGCTGCAGTGGTGGGGCTTCCTGCAACTGCAGTCAATTCCTTAGTTTTCACCTGGGCACAGGTAGGTCCAGCAGCATGGCAGGCAGAAGCCTGGCCACCATGGCCAGAACCAGGGCTCTGTTGTGGTGGAGGGGTTTCCTGCAGTTACAGGTAGTGCTCTGGTGAGGAGAGCAAGAGATGTGGGCAGCTTGCATGTCATTGCGGTCAGAAGCTTTGCCACTGCAATTGCAGCTACTGAGCTGGGTCTTCTGTCCTAGCTCTGGCTGTGGTGGCTGGGATTTTGCCTGCCATGCTGCTCTGTGCTGCTTTCCCTGGGTCTCTGACTGCCACTGTGGGATGCCCCAACACCACAGTCATAACCAGGGCAAAAGTGTTTGGCTGGATAACCCAAGTCAATGGGTCAGATCCAGCCTGCAGGCTATGTTTGACACTCTTGACCAGGCAATTACAGAGTATAGAGAGGGATCTGATGCAAGCAGTTATGTGGTAAGTGATGTAGGGTCTAGTTTGATGTAGGGTATAGCTTGATTTATTTTTTATGGGTTTTTATGAAGGGTTCAGCTTCAGAAGAGGGAAGGGGAGGTATGACAAGGCAGGAGGAAGTACATGTGGAATGAAGCTGGGAAAAACAAACTTAGGCTGAGAGGGGAGGCTGGGAGTGAACAGCCTTGGGGGAAGCAGGGACAAAAATTAAATAGAAAATGTTGCTGCAGTGAGAGATTAGATTATTTTCTCCCAATTTTACATCCTGCTACACTTGATGGCATGTGCCCTCCATTATTAGGAACCACTACCTACTTATCTCTGATAAATAGGTTTTTAGGCCTTGCATTTCTTTTTTCCTCTTGTGGTATGTGTGGGGGTTGGTTTGGGTTTGGTTTTTTTGCTTTTAAACCGAGGCAGAGTTTGTCTTTTTCTGTGCAGCATATGTTTCTGCATAAGAGCCCTATGTAATATTGCTGTTAACTCCTGATGTACAGAATTTCTGTTCCCTGCTAATAGAAATGCACAGGTGTTTCAAGGAAAGACTGCTTCTCCAAAAGCAAATTCTAATGTTGTTTTTTTCTAATACAAGGTGTATGCATTTTAATGCAAGAGCCAAGATAGATATAGATATACACATATTGATATCTATTGGAAGTGCATACTGTACCTCCACATTTAACAGTTGTTTGGGGGATTTGCAGTATACTTATGGTTATATAAAGGCACCAAATATTGAGTTTGTCTTTGGAGAATTAAGGTTTCTGTAGCAACGATAAATCAGCTGTGTTAAAGATCTATATTTAGAGGGAGATTTCAAAAATTGTACTCGCTTACAACCTGCAAAAATTTTTTTCCCTTGTTTTATTTTTGGAGGTCTTAAATTTTACCATTTAAATCCTTACTTTAAAAACAAATAAGAAATACTGTATGTTTGTCTGTATCATTTAACAGACTATTACTTGAGAAATAGATACTCTTATATAAGGTATACTAGCTGTCTCCAGTTTGCTGTGATAAAATTTCAGATGACAAGCTTGTTAACAATGGGGTAGGAATTCCTAGAGGACTGAATTATTTAACAGCTTTGTTAAAAGGCTACCTGCTAACATGAGAAATTGTTGCCTGCTCTATCTGATCAAATCAAGCAGGTGAATGTTAAGCAGAGTGCAGATCTTAAGTAGGACCTCACTAGAATGGCCTTTCAGAATTTTTTTCTGTTCAGTAAAATCATGAAACTTTACTGGTATTAGGATTTTTTTTCTCTTTCTCTTTTTTTCCCCCCTCTCAAGATCTAGCTGTGGCTCTGTTTAGTTTTACTAATGAATGTAGGTGTTGACATATTCCATTTTAATTTCTAGGGTGCTGTGCCTAAAGGTAATGCCACAAAGGAATTCATCGAGAGTTTACAGCTGAAGCCTGGACAGGTGGTTTACAAGTGTCCAAAATGCTGTAGCATTAAACCTGACAGAGCACATCACTGCAGGTACAGTTACTTCCACTGAACTGCTTCTGTACCTTGCATTTATGGCATGTGGCTCTAGTACAGGGGTGGGCAAAATGCGGCCTGCGGGCCGAATGCGCCCCGCCAGGCCATTTTATCCGGCCCGCGGGGCCCCTAAAAATTTAGAAAATTAATATTTATCTGCCCCTGGCTGCCTGTCATGCAGCCCTCAATGGTTTGCGAAAACTCAGTAAGCAGCCCTCCGCACGAAATAATTGCCCACCCCTGCTCTAGTAGAACCAAGCATCCATTTGGTGGACCAAGATGCTGTTGCAGGCTGAAACTTCAGAGGGGCTTAAGGAAGTCTATACCCACTGACTGCAAAGGGTGCCTGACTCTAAAGCTTCTCCAGAAGTTGGAGTCCTCCTTTGAAGAGGATTAAACTATTAAAGCACTCTGTGGCCACTTTACTTCTGAAGGAGAGCACATACATGTTAAGTTGTGTGGTGAGTTCATTGATGTGCCTGAGTATCCCATGTACACATGGCCTAAAAGACACTATGTTAAAATATGCCTTGCTGGTGAGAATCAGAATATTAGTCCATAAAATTAAATATTAAATTAAAATTAAATAACTAAATATTTGTCTTTGGTCCTTCTTTTTTCTGGGCCTGACTGGGTCTTCTGGCTTTAGCTTCTATTAGTCATCTTTATTACTACTAAATTAAAGTTAAGCTACATGCATTTAAAAAAAAATTCTAATCTTCATACTTTGACTTATAAAACAATTCAAAATTATAGCAAAAAAAATTGGTGGTAATAGTGTCCATTTTCCTGTGTTTTCTTTAAGACAAAAAATCTTCATACTGACCAATTAATGCTAAGGACATGTATGTAGCGCATCACAAACTCTTGATTCTTCCCTATTTTAGTGTAAAATAAGCTAAGCTTCTTTACAGTAAACAGTAAAGTGGCTTATATATGCTCAGACTCTTTTTTTCACCTCCCATCCTGAACAGCACATGCCTACAGGGCCTTTTATCTTGGGATTCTAGTTGCTGCTGATTCAAAGAGAGAGCCCTCTCCCTATATATTTTTTAAGCTTTAAGGGAATCTTTTTCAGCCATCCCCAACAAGCTTGTTCATCACTCTGCTTTTTACAATGTAAATTGAGCAAGATTTCCCCTCTGAGCTCCATTAAATAAAACGATTGCAATCAAAACAAGCATTGCTGATCCAACCCAAGCAATGTGATGGAGCCTATCACTTATTAATGCTGTTGCAAATCCTGTCTGACATATCTTTAATTATGGATGATGCTGTGCATCTAAAATGGGATCTTGGTGGTTCACAGCAGAGGGAAAGGAAAGCTAACTTTTACTAAGGAAAACCTTCTTCTCCATGTATTTCGTCATAGGCTTTAGGGAGGTTTGAGAGCAGTTCTTGTTCTAAGACCCAGTCCCATGCTCATTGAAGTCAGTGGGAGCCCTTAATAAGTAAATAAGTCCTTTCCTGTTGTTTTATGTGTGGGTCTTCCAGACAGCAGGGGTGTACATATGCACAGCAGTAGGGGTGTTAGTGACCACATGCCTGAGACTAGAGCTCCAGCCATTCACATGCCTTTGCGAGATTATTGTGCCCAACTATGCCTTCTGGCAGTCGGCTCCTGCCTCCTCACCTTGCTCCCTGTTGGTCTAGCTGCCCTGGAGGGTCTGAATGTGGAGAGTATCTGTTGTCTGTCAATCTTTGCCTCGTCCATTCTTGGCTCATGCAAGGAGGGCCCAGCTTCTCCAGCACCAGCTGTCTTTTCCCATCCTCCTCTGACTCTTACAAGTGATGTTATCCTTTAAGCTGCAGTTCATGCCTGTGATGGAGGCAGAGGCTTCTGTGACACTCCCTTCTTATCCTGGCTGCTCCAGGTATTTTCTCTGGTGGGACTTCTTCCCTCTCTTGGTTTCTCCCTTGGTGCTGCAGCTAGTCATCATCTTTCTCTGACATTTTGTGGATTGGCATGGGTTTGGGGTACTGATTTCTGCTGTGGTGTATGCCCTTGCTTATCAAGGGATCCAAGACCCAGAAGGGGTAGCTCTGGCAAACATCCCCTAGCAGAGTCTGTAGAAGTGGGCCAACAAGCGTGTAAAAGAAAATAAGCTGGAGCAAAATGAATTCTTTCAGTGTCTCACCTTGTAGTTACTGTAAGCAGTTGCTATGCTCAGGCCATAATCACCAGACTAGTAATTCTAAAGCCATATCTCCCCTATAGGTACCTGGATAACAGTCATTTTTAGTCTCTTCCTTTAATGTGAGGCTGCTTGTTAGCAGTAGTCATTCACCACAGGACAAATATTAAATAGGGAGATCTAGCTCAAGGCAGGAGGGAAAAGCATGAGAACAAGGGTGTGCCTCATCATGGTCCTGATCAGGGCCTTCATTGTCTCCTTTGTGTCTTGGGCACACTGCTGCTTTTCCTTGAAGACTCCTCCCTTCCAAGCTGTAGGGCCAGACAGCTTCAAAACAAGGGTATTATTTATTATTTATCAGTACGTGCTTGCAATACTGTGTTTATATTTTGATTCAGCATCTTTTTGTGGTTTGTTTCTTTTGAGTGGTTTATTTGTCATAGGAAGCAAAAGAAAGAAAGAGAACCCTTGGTTTTTCTTATTTAAATCCATTTAAGGTTGTTCTGTAATGATAGTTAGGTGCACTTGGGCATCAGGAGACAGCCTTTCTTCTTCCTTTTTCATAGGATAAAAGGATTCTCACCCCCTTTTACTCTCCCATGATGCTAGTTACAGTTTTAAAATGCATCCTGAAATGGAAGAGGGTGACAAGCTAAGAGTGGTATTCAAGTATGTTAAAGTAAACTAATAATCTTTTAAGTGTGGATGCTAAACACAATATACATTCATAGAATTTGAGATTAGAGTTCTTACAGATGTATTTGTAAATGCTTTTTTGCTAAATGCTTTAATTCTAATTTTATCTTGAATATTTTTGGGATAGTGGCTCAATAGTAGACATTGGTAGTTTAGTCTGCTGTGTGACTTCACTGTCAAGAATCTTTCCTAATGTTAAATCTGAATTTTCATTTTTTCAAAAATATTTTTTCACCAAATATATTTTATTAAATAATTGAACTTCTTAAAATAGATTAATGGATTTCTAATAGTATTCAAATCTAGACTAGATTTAATTTAATTTCATTTGTTTAATTGTAGTATTTAATCTCTAAGTTATAGAGTTTCCAAGTCGAGTACTACATTAATACATCGTGCTTGATAACCTGTTATTCAGGTGCCTACAGGAGAGACAACTTTTTGTACAACTGATATTTGGAATAATAGTTGATTTTGAGCAGATTCAGTAGACACAGAAAACCAAACCTTACCTGTTGGCCAGTGGGCACTTCTAAATTTTTACATTCAGATTTTACCTCTGATTCCTTTTTCATCTTCCAGTGTTTGCAAGAGGTGTATTCGAAAAATGGATCACCACTGTCCATGGGTTAACAACTGTGTAGGAGAGAACAACCAGAAGTACTTTGTACTGTTTACAGTAAGTGGTTTATGGAGTGAATCGTTCTGTTGTCTAATCAGAGACAATGAAATTTCAAGTATGCTTATTAAACAGATGTGCAAAAGTAGGTTTTTGATGAAATTGCATTACAAGGAAATAATCCTGATGAAATCATTTTGTTTATTAGAAAGTAAGCATAACAAATGATTAGGAATAAGTTAACACAAAGGGTACTTTGCCATGTTAGCTTTTTTAATGGTCTAGATTTAGTTAGCATAGTAGTAGTAAGCATATATATTGCAGAATGCACCATAACAATAATAGAAATCTTAGTAAGCTTTTTTTTGGGTAGGTACCACCTTCTTGTTCTATGTTGTGCTAGATGCTAGGCAAAAGTGTCTTGATCGGTGACTAGGGTTCCTAGGCTCTGTTGTAATACAAAAAATAATGATGGGATCAGCTAATACATCTCTGAAACACTGGAAAGAACCCTTTTTGGTGAGGTTTACCAAGATTCTTCATTCAGGTAGCCAGTGTCAGCACTCAGAAAATGAGGAAATGTTTCTGATTTTCATTTTGCGTTGTGTCTGTGGTGTTGAGAACAAAAAAGGGGAAGGAGGAGAGCCAACTTGACTGTATTATTTCTCTACCAAGGATGAAATCTAGGCTGTGTTGAAATCAATGGCAAATCTCCCTGGATCAAATCCAGGGAATGTTAAGGCTGCACAGTTGACTCCCAGGGTAGTTCATTTTCTTAGTAATCTCATAGTAAACCTGCAAGTGTAAGATGGCTGTGTTAATGATATTACAAAGTAGAAGGGTAAAAGTATTGAATCAGACTTGAGAATAAGTGGATGAATGCTTTAATTCCCTTTGGTGGCATGGTCTATCATAAGGCTTTTGGAGGCAGAACTAATCAAATTTCTCTCCCTGGAGCAGGGGATCCCATACTGCAGAATGTGCACTTGATGTTCTGTCAGTTTGCTTTGCACCAATTTAAGAAATATATAACATAAACCAACATATTTGGGCATAATTGGCCTAGAAAAGGGGTGTCAAAGATTCAGCCTAGGGAGTTCCAACATCTATGCCCCAGTGCTGCACCTGGACATGAGTTGACCCACAGGCCACCAGACAAGCCCCATGCACAGGGCTTGGGACACATGCTACATGCAGCACCTACCCCTGTTGGTCTGGTAGTCAGCCATATGTGGTGCCCACTCTGGTGCCCACGCAGCATCCATTCTGACTGGTCTGGGATTCACACTGCAAGTTGTGCCCACTGCAGCCAGTCTGGGACCCACGCTGCATGCGGTGCCAGGATGCGGGTCCTGGGACAGGCACTGCATGCACTGGATCAGGTGTGGAGAGGAGGGGTGTCCATAGGCCTGATACAAGTTTGACAGCTCTGGCCTAAAATATATTTATAGTTTCATAGTTGGTAGGGTCAAAAGGGACCTGAGCAGATCATCAAGTCCAACCATGGCAGGAAAGGGTACCGGGGTCAAACGACCCCAGCAAGGTGTTCATCCAGCCTCCTCTTAAAGACGCCCAGGGTAGGAGCCAGCACCACTTCTGGAAGTTGGTTCCAGATCCTAGCTGCCCTGACTGTGAAGTAGCGCCTCCTGATATCTAGCCTAAAGCTACCCTCTGCCAGCTTGTGACCGTTATTCCTTGTCACTCTTGGTAGTGCTCGGGGGAACAGGGACTCCCCCAATGCCTGCTGGTCCCCCCTGACCAGCTTGTAAACAGCCGTTAGATCCCCCCTCAGCCTTCTCTTGTGGAGGCTGAACAGGTTCAGGTCCCTTAGCCTGTCCTCGTAGGGCCTGCCCTACTGACCCCGATCATGTGGGTGGCCCTCCTCTGGACCCTCTCCATGTTGTCCACATCCCTCCTGAGGTGCGGCGCCCAGAACTGGACGCAGTACTCCAACTGCGGCCTGACCAGTGCCGCATAGAGGGGGAGGATCACCTCCTTGGACCTGCTTGAGATGCATCTGTGGATGCATGACAAGGTACAGTTGGCCTTCCTGACTGCATACCCACGCTGTCAGCCCATGTTCATTTTGGCATCAATAATGACTCCAAGATCCTTTTCTGCCTCTGCACAGACAAGAAGGGAGTTCCCCAGCCTGTAGGTATGCTGCTGCTTCTTCCTCCCCAGGTGCAGTACCTTGCACTTGTCAGTGTTGAAACCCATCCTGTTCTCATCCGCCTGCGCCTGTAACCTGTCTAGGTCCGATTGCAGCCTATTCCTCCCTTCTAGCGTGCCCACTTCCCCCCACATCTTAGTGTTGTCTGCAAATTTGAACAGGGTGCTTTTTACCCCCTCGTTCAAGTTGCTGATGAAGATGTTGAACAGTGTGGGCCCAGGGACCGAGTCCTGTGGGACCCCACTGCCCACATCCCTCGAGGTCGAATAAGACCCGTCTACCACCACTCTCTGGGTGCGGCCCTCCAGCCAACTAGAGACCCATTTGACTGTGTAGGTGTCAACGCCACAATCCCCTAGTTTTTTAATGAGAATGGGGTGAGAGACAGTGTCGAAGGCCTTCCTAAAGTCCAGAAAGACTACGTCCACTGCTACCCCTGCATCCAAGGATTTTGTGACCTGGTCATAGGGGCCCACCAGGTTGGTCTGACAGGACCTGCCTCTAATGAACCCATGTTGGTTGCCCCTAAGCATAATCTCCCTGCTGGCCCCTCGCAGACATGCGCCAGGATAATTCTTTCAAAAAGCTTACCCAGGATCGAGGTAAGACTAACTGGCCTATAGTTTCCTGGATCCTCCTTCCTCCCTTTTTTGAAAATGGGGACCACAGTGGCCCTTTTCCAGTCCTCTGGCACCACGCCAGAGCACCATGAGTGCTCGTAAAGCCATGCCAGGGGTCTCGCAATGACCTCTGCCAATTCCCTCAGCACTCTGGGATGGAGATCATCAGGACCAGCTGATTTAAATATGTCCAGTCCTTCCAGAAGTTCCTTGACTAGATCCTCACTGACCCTAGGCCTGGGTGCGCCTCCCCTGGGACCTGCGGTGGTCCTGCGGGGGCGGTGACCTGGTCCCTGCTCAGAAAAATGGAGGCAAAGAAATTGTTAAATAGGTTGGCTTTGCTGTCTGGTGCGACGACCAGATTTCCTAGTGTGCCCTGCAGAGGGCCCATGTTACCCGGTACCTTCTTTTTACCCCCTATATATTTAAAAAAGGACTTCTTGATGTCCTTGATCTGGGTAGCTAGTCCTAGTTCCATCTCAGCCTTGGCCTTCCTGACCGCCCCCCTATAGCCCCGAGCAACCGAGGTATAGTCCTACCTGATGATGGCCCCTCCCTTCCGTTAGGTGTACGTCTGCTTTTTAGCTAGGAGACGTTCCTGTATGCTTTTGGTGAGCCGTGGGGGCTTTTGTGCCCTCTTGCCCCCTTTGATCCATGTTGGGATTACCTCCCTTTTGGCTTGGAGGATTGTCTCCTTAAGGAACGACCACTCTTCCTGGACACCCGACTCCCCACCCCTCCAGGACCTCAGTGCCTCCCCAACTATTCTCCTCACCTCATTGAAATCTGCCCTCTTGAAGTCCAGGGCTGCTGCCTTGCTGCAGGCGTTTGCCACCTTGCGCTGGATGGTGAATTCCAGCAGGCGATGATCACTGTCACCCAGGTGGTCGAGCACCCGCAGACCCCTCACCAGGTCGTCGCCTGTGGCCAGCACCAGGTCCAACAAGATGTCTCCCCTGGTGGGGCTGTGCACCTCCTGGGTTAGATGGAGGGCCTGTATCTCAGCTAGGAACCTATGTGAGCGGTCAGACCTGGCTGACTGCTCTTCCCAGCAGATGTCTGGAAAGTTCAGGTCACCCATGATGACCACATCCTTTGACCTAACAACCTCCGTGAGCTGACTTAAGACCTGATGCAGGTCTCGTGTCATCTTCCACGTCCGCTCACTGGTAGGACAGAAGAGAATACCACCTGTGCCCTTATCTCCTTCAGCATGCCCCTCAGAGCATGGTAGTCTGCCATCAGGTGATCAGGGCTTCTGGCTGCATCATTAGTGCCCACATGGATTAGGACCATAGGGTTATTTGCTGAAAGGGAGTCAAAGCAAGGGGGTATCTCTCCTTCCTTCTGGGGTGTAGGTGGCTCTCCCTGCTGCTGACATAGCCGGGGTGGTGCAGTGACCTCGAGAGCCATGCTGTGCCCAGGCTGGGCTTCCCCTCCTGTCCACTGTGGCTGGCACAGGATGGGCACCACCTGGGCTGTCCTAGCAGCTGCTCCAGCTCACCACCACCCAAACCTTTAGTTTGGTTAGGGAAAAAAAAATTCTTCTGGGTGCTTTCCCACTGGGCGCATAGTACTCCATCTTGGCTAGTCTTGCCTACCAGTCGTAGGAGGGAGGGGGGGAGGGAAAATTAAATAAATCTCTCCTTAATAATTGGAGTGGAGTAGTGTTGCCTGCTGGCTCATCTTGAATATGGCATTTTGGATTTCAGGTTCAGTTAAACTTGACAGGTCTGTATTTCCAGGTGAACCACATATTAAATGCCTAATCTGGTTGAAGAATCAGCAAAAAGCAAGTTCTGTTCATTCCTGTCTGTGAACTCAGGAGGAGTTCACTGAGAGATGTTTGTTTCTTCTGAGTAGCTGCTCATATTTGTCATGGTCTGGAGCACCCTAAGAAAGCATCTCCTAATCATGTCTTTGTATAGATGGAAGACAGGGTAGGGATTCACTTTATAGACTAACTGAATCAGGGCTGCATAAGCTTTCGTGAAGAAAATTGTTTCTATAGATGTCTGTATATGAGAGGGGGCATGGGTAGCAACATTGGTAGTTAACATTGTTCAAGTCTTTTTCATGAGAAGGTCCTTTATTAGTTTGCCACAGTTGGGCAAGTGTGTGCCCCAGAGCAATATTTTTATAGTGAAAATGGGTTAGCTACTTCGCAGAACCAGATCAGTGACAAATAACTCCATCTCCACATTTTAATAATTCTTGCAACTCTTGTGTTAAGTTCTGATTTCTTGCTTTGAGCAAGCTGAAATTTGGTAGAGGGTTGGTCTGACGCTGGCGGTGTACATTGGCTCTCCCTACAAAAACCAGCAAATCTAGCCGGTCTTTGCATATACTCTGTAGATAGTAGGCGTAGTGTAGTATAGGCACTGTTGCCTAATGCTTGCTCAACAGACTGGGATTTGGGAGAGTTGAGTTTTATTTCCAAATGTGCCATTGGTCTGTTGCTAGGTGACCATGGGCAAGTCCCTTCAGTTCTCTTTGCCTTTGTAAAATGGGGATAACTTATTTCTTTTCTTTATAAAGCACGTTGAGATTTGCAAATGAAAAAGGGCTATATCTGAGCTTCGTATTATTTTGCATCATTAGGCAATTAAAGACTTCATCATTTGTATATAGCACAAGGGGCCCAGAGTAAGTTTGTGCAAGCTACATAACTTGTTTTTTCCTAACTTGAGAGTGTTTGACTTAGCCACCTTAACTTTTTAAAGGTGACTTATTCTTCTGCATGATGTATATTTTGGTAGTTTAAGTGATTTCTTTCTACAGCTTTGCTCCATAAATACGTTGTATTTTCAGATGTATATAGCACTGATTTCCCTGCATGCCCTCATCATGGTGGGATTTCACTTTCTGTATTGCTTTGAAGAAGACTGGACAAGTGAGTATGGATAAAATGTTCTTTCCAGATACCTAGTTAATCTGTGAAGAAAACATTATAGAGTAAAGCGAAGGGCATCCTCTTTTACAGCTAGTTACAAGAACATGCTGTTGTACAGTTAATATGGGTGCTTCTTTTATTTTTATGGTCGTTCTTGGAATATTAAAGTTCCAGCTGTGGAGTAATAAATTCTGTCCCAAAAGGTGAAGTCTAGGGGCTGTGGCTGGCTGATGTGTGCATTTTAAAAAAGAACAGGGTTGACTTGAAAATGGCACTGATTTTCCTGTATGCCAAGAGAGAGAAAATGTTTGCTCTCTTAGTTCAATAGAAGTTGTGAAAGGCTAAAGTTGTTTTATTGGCTCAGACCTAAAATTCCATCCTTGTGAGTTCAAACAATACCTCCCCACTGGAAAAAAAATCACTAGAAAAGTTGATATGTGCACCCACCTCAAACGATTAGGCTTAATCCACAATGGGTGGATTTTATTTCTTTAAAAGAGAACTAGAGGAAATATTGGTAACACCCACTCCTCCACTGTAAAATTTTCTATTCCATCTGGGTGTCTGGACTTGCTGTGAAGGAGCACGATCCTACTATTTTAAGAATGTAAGCTTCACATTTAAGTAATTGCGGGTTCGGTCCACAGAACTGTGAAGGAAACCTTTCAGATGTGAGTAGAATTTGAGCTGATGCATTGCAACTTTGCAGCTCCATAACAGTTTCACTCTGCATTTGCTTGACAAATTGTCTCGGTCCACACTAACCAGAGAGAGACTGTGAAAGAAGAAAGGAGGGGGATTTTTTCCCCACAAAAGTATTCAGACTCTGAAGACGTAGTGGTAAAAATAAAAAAGTTTATTCTCTGTAACCTGCCAACAGTGGTCAGGAGCTGAGAACAGGACCCTGGCAGAAAGCCTCCGAGAGCTAAACCTGAGCTGTTGTTACTGCTATCCTTGTCCCACATGCAATGGGACCCCCATCTTATCTTGGTACTGGCCTATAGCTATTAAGTGCCTGATTAAATTTAGAATCCCTATTTGGGGCAGTGTTGATTAGGGGGATTTCTGGGAGAAGACATTTGTTTTTAAGAAGTTCTTATTATTGGGTTTCACAGAACTCTGAGACTCTTTGAATGAATTAATAAGTGAGTAATTAAATATTGTACTTGTTGTCTTATACCACTTTTATTACCTCACCTTTCACCTTCATAGCCACCCTTGACAACCCTTTTAAACCCTCTGTTTAACCTTGAAGTAATGTTGCAGTATAGGTAGACCTAAAGAGAAAAAGGGGGTAAACTTGAAAGAAACAAGTTTACCTCTGTCTCAAAAAGTAGAGTAAAATGTGTGCTGTGCTGCTTACAATGTCACTACAGAAGCAGTGTTCCCCTTTTCTCCTGTTTCCTGATCAATAGACTGAGGTTCTAATAGACTTTTTATCATCATAACAAATGTTATCATAAATTCTCTATTTATAAAATGCAAGAGGTTAGAACTGGCTATGTATCCTACATGTTGCAGCATAGCTTTTTTCCCCCTTTAGACCAACAGTAGTAATGATCTCAGTGTCCCACATGCACAGGAATATCATAGCCTCTCCATACCCCTTTGCATATGATAGCTATTTCCTTTTCTTATATTGATAATTGGTTATAAATTAAATTTTCCTATCCAGCCAGCACTTCCTAATCTGATACGTAATCCCAGCATTTCCACCAGAATTTGCCATTAAGTGGTAAGTGCTTGTAGCAGTGTTGTGGGCTTTTTCCCCCGGTTCTTTATTTTTTTGGAGTGTTTATTATTTTATCATGTTTTTTCACAGAATGCAGTTCCTTCTCTCCACCAACGACAGTGATCCTTCTCATCCTCTTGTGTTTTGAGGCACTTCTGTTTCTCATTTTCACATCTGTCATGTTCGGGACCCAGGTACACTCCATCTGCACTGATGAAACGGTGAGTGCTTTGTGATGTCTCCTTTCTCCTCTTCCCACAGTGGAAAGAGCCGTGGAATGCCGCGTGGTTCTGCTTCGCTGCTCTAGTGCATTCTTTGAGCAAAGGTCAAAAATAACATATTGAGGTGACACAGTGACTGAGTGCACGCTCTAAAGGGCTGGTATAAGAACTGGGGGAGTGGGAAGTTGTTCCATCTACCATACCAGTGATTGAAACTTTTATTTTAAGAAGCATAAATAACTAGATTACTCTGCAGAGCAGTTCACCTCTGGGATGGAGCATCTCTTACACAACAGACTCTGCAGTGCTTGCTGCCAACTGCTAAGATCTTTTAAGATTCCTCTATGTAGCATCTCATGATGTATACAGCTTCATGTGCTGAAAAGCAAAGATAAAGCTAGGGAGGTAGCGGGGAGGAGAGTTTTGTTTTTGTGAATCTTCAGTTTAGGTTTTTCTGAAATATTTACCCATTCAGGAGCTCTCTTGGGGCAGACCCGGTGGGGAGGAGAAGCCTCTGCAATATCCTGTGATGTAGAATCTCAGCTTTTATTCTGAGCTGCAAAGTGGTAAAAGTAATTCCAGATTTTAAGGCAGCAAGATGTTATTCAAAGGCTTTGGAGTCACTCCCCAGAGGATGCACCGTGTTCTTTTCAGAGGTGGAGACTCTGACTCTTAGTCACTTCTACCCTTTAGAACAGAGTTAGACTTTACCAGATATGCTTGGGGAATCTCTGATAGCTGAACAGAAGGCCAGTCTCATCCTAAAGTGAAATAACTTTCCAAATGTCAATTTACTGGGTATGTTGGAAGAATTGATAACCTTAAAGGGAATGCAAATATGTATGTTGATGGGTAAGTTACTTGCTCTTGTTAGTTAGATATTGACCAGTCTGGAGGTAGAATGAATGTGTATGTGCATTTGTATGTATATATTCATTCTAGTTCCAGACTGATCAATATCTAACTAACATATGTAATGTTGACTGTCTATAGGGAGTTAGAATTTGACACGCTGGACAGTGAAAAAGCATTTGCCATTCATGACCCTTGGTTCAGAGCTGCTTAACTTGGAAGCTAATGGCACTGATGTTTTAGGACAGGGGTTTTCAACCGGCGGCACTTGCAGTTTTGCCAGCAGCACTTCTGGTTTCACTGCTGTGCACCACGCAGCCCCCCATCAATTGGCTGTTGGGGGACTCCATGCTTCTTGACTGACTGCAGGGGGTACCCCAACCAAAAAAGGTTGAAAACCCCTGTTTTAGGATGTATGCTTGGACAGATCTACTTGTCCAGGGAAGGCTACAGATATTTCCTGTTGGATGAGGCCAATACAGAACAACAGGCTCCTGCTAGGCTATTATTCATCAGCTTTTCAGCAAACTAATGACAACGTCTGAAGTTACTTCTGAATTTTTAACAAAGATAGGTCAGTATTTTCAAATGTAGCTTCTGCAGTTCTGCACCATAAAAATGCCTGACAAGTGCTGGGCATCCATAGAAGCTGTCACTTATCTTGCTACCTAAATATGAATTAAATAAAAACTCCCAAATGTTAAAGGCAGAACTTTTACTTATTTGGAATTTTCTGTATCAGCAGTACTACCTGTCCCTATTTGCTGGCATTAAACTATCTGTGTCTATATGTCATGTGATCCTTGCTCTGAGGAACCCTTAGCATTGAAGTTCTGTTAAAAATGGCGTGGGATGGATTGTTCTGTTTTGCCTTGCACTTCAAGGGGCATTTCCCCCACCCCTCACCCTGCTACATGTACCACACAGCCTCTGTCTCTCGGTGGGGAAATTGAACTCCTTGTAGAGCCTGATACTTTGCTTTTTTGTTATTTGTGGAGCTGTCATCAGGAACCAGCAGTGCAAATTGCTTATTCTCTCTTGGAGCTGGGTGTGCTGCTTTCACCTAACTTCCAGGACCTGGAGTTCACAACAGAAGCATGATCTGTACTGAGGTGCATATATTGACAAACAGCAGCTAATCTTAATGGGAAGCTTTAAATCAAACAATGGAGTTGTTTACCCGTTCAAGATGTCTGGGGTCAAGAAATAATGCATTCTACTGACTGTATTTAATTTTGCTTTTATAACAGCGATGCTTGGCTTAACTCCTTACTGTATGGATGCAGATAATAAGAGGTTGGGTTTTTTGTTTTTAAGTGATTTACTGTCTTAAGGAATACTTCAACTGACTGCTTGATGATCTAGTTTTGCTCTCCCTCTAACCTTTACTAAAACAATATCCAGCCTTTCTCTCAGATCAGTTTATTTTCTCCCTGCTGTCAGCCTATGCATGTTTGGGCAGCAATTTTTAATGAAACATGAAGAGGCACTAGGTAAGTTCAACCATGCTGAGCCATGGACACTTGCTGAACTTGCTTGGTGAATCTGGGAGCATTCTAGGGATTATCTTGGGTTTTTTTGTCTGCAAACTGAATGGTTTCCTACAAAACTTTCCCATCCGTTTCATCACAATGCTTTCAGCCAAGAAAAGTATAGTATGTTTGAATAAAAGTAAAGCATCCATGACAGTTGGAGGGTGTTGTTTTGGGGGGGGTTGTTTTTTTTTAAAGGCTTAATTTCTAAACTTGGTCAAAAATAAAAATAATTGTCATTTTGAAGGAATATTTCTTCCCCTCCCCCAGTCCCCTGCTCCCCCCTTTAAAAAAGGGAAGGTGTATCTTTGTATTTTCATACTTCATCCTGGTGATAAGGGGTGACTTTAAGAAATTTTTTTCCCCAGAGCCAGAACCACAAAAATTAAGTGCTTGACTGAAAATGTGATATTTCTGTTTTCAGGGAATTGAGCAATTGAAAAAGGAAGAGAGAAGATGGGCTAAAAAAACAAAATGGATGAACATGAAAGCAGTATTTGGCCATCCGTTCTCTATAGCATGGCTTAGTCCATTCGCTACTCCAGACCAAGGAAAAGCAGACCCATACCAATATGTGGTCTGAAGAATTCTTGACCAGCATTTCCACTAAAATAAAATCACAGTACAGCACTACTGTTCTCTATTTTACATGAATGTTTGAAACAGAAAGCAAAACAAAACAAACTTTTTTTTTACATCTACTAAATGGCTGATTGCAGAGAAAAAAAAGCCCTGTAATTCTATATCTTTAGATAACTCTGTATCTCTGGCTGAAGCTGCTGCTGCTTTTTTTTTTTTTAACTTGTTAACTTTACTGGCCTTTGTTTCTATCTGCTTTCTGTATGGCATAACTAATATGAAGGGGATCCTCTTTCCCTGTTGGGCCCACCTCTTCTGAGTAGATTTTCATGCGGTCTCATGACTCTGACACCTGTGGATGACACACAAGTGCCAACAGTGCCATCTTCTATAGACAACTTTGGATCTCCTCATGGAGCTTGCTGCTCTTAAGTCAGCACTGGGGCTCTTTTATAAGACGACTTGAACTGGGAAACAGACACTTCAATTACTGAAAGGTGCAAGATGTGCGTGTGACCCTACAAAGGAGCCATTTAATATGGTGGTCCCATACAGTTAAAGTATTTAAAACAAATGTTGCCAGTGCCACCTTTTACTTTTTCTTCCAGCTACAATATTGATTCCATCTTTCTGGCATTATTTTGTGCATTCCCTCCCTTGTAAGCAGGAAGTGTTGCCCTTCTAGGAAAAACATGGTAGCTTTGGAAAACTTGCTGGATGAAATGCCTTACCTTTTCAGGAAAGAGATCTCATTTTAAAATGGTTAGGATAGAAGGATTATCTTGTTTGTCTTGGTAAATGAATTGTTAGAACAAAACCTACTAAAAAGTATTGATGTGTAGAACAGGCATGAATGCCCAGAAACATGACAAATTGCCATAAAAAAACATAGGGCTTGTGTAGGTATACTAGAGCAGATACCGGTTAATTTTCCATTCCTAGCATTGCCCCTCATTAGAGCTTTGTAAATTTCTTCATATATTTTTAGTTGGGAAATGTCAGTGTTAAGGAGTATGCATGCCTGGTGTCATGAATTGTGTGGATTGTTAACTATGTGCAGTAATCAGTTGAAAGCGAGAGGGGCAGAGGGCATTCCACTGAAAACAAAAGCGGGTAAAAACAATCTCATGCGACTCAAAAAACTAACATGTTTGTATCAAAGCAGGGATTTTATTGAATGTTTTTTGGATTGTTTTGAAAAGGAGTGATTAGCATAACTGCCAACAGGACCCATCAAACAATCATAAATGAAGGAAATCTGTAAATAAGCTGTGTCCATGGATTCTCATGTAACTTTTGTTTCCACTTTTGGAGAAAAAAAATATTTTGGCAAATGACCTCTTAGACTGACTCAAAGCCATGAGGGAAGGTAGAGATATCAGGGGTAGAGAAAGGTGAATGAATCTGTCTCACTTCAGACATAATGTGAATGCTGCATCTTTTCTGTCAATGCTTCCATATGGAAAACAAATGCAATAAAACTTTTCCAAAAACTGTGTCCACTCCTTTCTTACTCTTATTTGCAGTTTGAAGCCTCTTCCTAAACTTTAATTTACAGCCAAGTTGGAATAGCATGAAAAATTAAATAACTTTGCTGCTTAATTTGAAGTTTAAAAAAATTAGTTAATCAGTAATGCACTGCTAGATCTTTCACCCCCTGGAAGTTGTTATTAGGGGCTGCAACAAGTGAGTAAACAGGCTTTTTGCTGCAGCAGACTTCATGTTCTTCTGCTCAAAATCCACAGTAGTGTGTTTATGGCATCTTAATCCGTTACTATAGGATTACACATCGAAGATTATTTGACCTCTTTGTATGCTTGAGTAAGTGAATTTAGTAGAAATAATATGCCTTTGCCTGCATGTAGTTCTTAAGGAAGAGGTGAGGAGAGGAAAGGTTTGGTTTCCTTTCTTTGGTTTTCATCTAATAGGAAATTCATTGTAAACTAATGCATGCCTGAAACCCTTATGCAATGTGTTTTGCTTCTCAGATTAATCCTAACGTGTGTAGATTAGGGGACATATTTGACAGATATTGTCAGGCTGAAAAAAAACAGGCTAGATACTCCTTTTGAGAAAAGAAAGACCCCTCTGCTGCTCTTCTAGTTCCATGGCACTTGTCCTGGCTTGTTCAGAAGCCACATGATCAGTCACGATTGACCAAAGAGCCACCACAGTGCATGGTGAATTGGTGAATTGTGGCAAACTTAATGATGTCTCTTGGCTGGTTAATCCATAATAGTACAGGAACTATTTGAATTAGTCATGGATTGGGAGACATGGTCTGAGTGTCTCTGACCTAGGTTAAAGCTGAGAACTTAAACGACTAAAAGTCACTTTATCTTATAACAGGAGTGGGCAAAATGCAGGATGGATGCGGCCCACCAGGCCATTCTATCTGGCATGCTGGGCCCCTAAAAAATTTAGAAAATTAATATTTATCTGCCCTGGCTGCTTGTCACGTGACTCCTGGTGGCTTGCCAAAACTCAGTAAGCGGCCTTCCCCCTGAAATAATTGCCCACCCCTGTCTTATAACGTTCCCATTGCTGGTACTTCAAGTTTCCATTTCCAAATTTCAGCTCTTGTCTGGGGTCTTCGTACATTATGACAATTACATTTTATATACCACAGAGAGAGACTTAAATTGTTCTGGCATTGAGATAATCCATGTACTGTACATAATTTATTGGTGTTAAATTTTGCAAAAGCTTTTAACAAATCCTAATTGTGGTGATTACACATCTTATATATATCTAATATAGTCAGTTTTGTTTTCAAGAGAAACTTTAAAAAAGATTCTGAGAAATATCTATAGCTGTTTTCCTGGTTTCATAATTGTGTATCTCTGTCACATTACATTACTGAGACCAGCCTGCAGGAGGTGTACCATGTGATGTTAAGTCCATGGGTGATGTAGCTCAGTGTTTGAATGTGTATGAGGCAGAGTTACCATGTTGCTTTAAGGTAAGTCCTCCTGTTCTTTTTTCCCCCCTGTCATTGTTGATATACTTGACTCCAAAAGCTCATATCTGTATCTTAAGCAAGAGAATAGAGAGTTGGGGGACTTGATCATGGTCTTCACATACCTACATGAAAAAGAAAACTTTAATCTAGCAGATAGATGAGATCCAGTGACTGTTAGTTGAATCGAGATGATTTCAGGTGAGAAACAAAGTACAAACTTTTAACAATAGTAATAATTAACCACTGGAGCAACTTCCCCAGGTTCACGGTGGATTTTCCATCCCTAGTAGTTCTCAAAACAAGATTGGAAGCTCTTCTGAAAGAGATACTCTAGTCCAGACTCAATTCCCTCAGAAGTCCTCTGGCCTGTGTCCCATAAGAAAGGTCATCACAATGGCATCTTTTTACCTTCAGTCTATGAAAGACTATTGTCTATCATGCACTCAAAAGACAAGCAACACTTCCTGTACCTAACCTGAATTTCCAGACTGCTACAATGGTAGTTTCTTTTGACTTCTGGCTTTTTTCTTGTTTTTTAAGGAATCTCTTTAATGTTTATATTTTCTCTAATTTAATTGTAAGCCTCTGCTCTTACTCCCAATTAATCTAGGAGTCTGGCTATCAATTTCAGTGGAGGCAGAATCAAGCGCAGAGTGTTTAGCAGCTGCTATGTTAGTATGTTACTGTGTGTGCATGTGTGTGTGTGCAGGTGCATATGCACCATTTGATAACTAACTTTAAATGAGTACTTGTCAATTACTGAATGTGGAATATTAACTACTTAAGCAGAGCTTTGTGAATCTTGCATTTTTTAGTTCATTGTCTATTGGCTCCATTGACACACAACTGACTTTTCAGTTTTCTTTCAAACCACCATTTCACCTGAAATAAAATGTTTAATTTCACTTTCACTTTTTTTTTTAACAAAACAAGTAAAAAACCACAAAAATATATAAACATCACATTTAAATATCAATATTTTTAATGGTTCCCTTATTTTTCTTAGGCAAAACTATTGTCTTCAGGCAGAAGAAAACTGCTTCTTCTTGGTTGTGCATCACCAACTGAACTACTTTCTTTCTGAAATGTGATACTTTTTTCATGTCCTAGGCATGACCTTTTCTCTTTTTCTGACCCCACTGACAGGTCTTGCCAGATTAGATTGGAATAGTTTTAATAGCTTAATATTGATTTCCTGTTTTAAATGCCTCGTGTGAATTGATGGGTTTTGGATAACAGAGCCAACACACCATCCAGTCTGATTTAACTGCACCCCTAATCTGGCATTAGTACATTGAAACATGGTGGCTTTGATTACTAAATCGTGTGGAATATGTTGAAAAGAACTCTTTTTTTTATCCAAAATTTCTATGCTTGTGGTTCCAGTCTTTCTTGTAAAAACTGGATTAAATGCAATGATTCAGGCCTATGGTCTCTGCCGTTTGGGAAACAGTTAAAGCAGGGCTTGGCAACCTGTGACCCACAGGCTGGATCTGGCCCACAGAAATGGGGCTTCAGCAATGGGGGTCCTCAGCCACAGTTGCTTTCCCCTGCTGACATGGGCAGAAGCACTGCTTACAGACACCCGCCCCCCTGCCACTGCAGGGAAAAGCAGTGGTGGCATCTGGGTTTTAACACCTGTCTGCCTGCCTCTGGATAACTTCAGCTTTCAGACTGAAAAGGGTACTGACCACTGAGTTAAAGCTTTATGGGCTTGATTTCCCTCCACTCCCACAATTCTTTTCCTCACCTGTTCTTCTCCTGGTAAAAATGCACCTTTGCGCACTAGTTCTTGAACATTATAAACAGGACTGAAATAGCTGCAATTGTGCAGGGTATACGTGGAAGCAGGGGACCTAAGCATCTGTCTATACTTCTTCCCTGAGAAGCATCTCTTAATCCTTATCCCAGCAGTGCATCCTTTCTTAACCCATATCTCTGACTTTATTCGAGTGGAGAGGGGAAAGCACTTTGTAAAAAGTTCAGCATCACTTTCTGTTAAGGAAACAATGTTTTCACTGGCTGTTATGGAAAACCCAGGAAACCGTGTTGTGGATCAGAACTCTTATCAAGCTAGGAACTGAAAAAAATATATAACAAAAAGATGGTCTCTGTCCCCAAGGGATCAGTCTGAGTAAATGCATGTAGTTCTCTGCTTCTCCATGAAACACTGGTGACAATATTCTTGATACATTTTTTTTTTTTAGTGTTTATACATAAATTTTCAAGCATGTGTAATGATTTGGGGGAATCTGGAATTTGTTTTGGGTACCCAACTTGAACTTCTGTAGAGGCCCAAGCTTTAGAAAGTGCTGAGTGCCCACCTTCTGAGAAATGGACCCTTTTCAGCTAAATCAGAATAGGCACGTGATCACTAGTCCCTTTTGGAAAATGTAGGCCTGTGTTTCCAAGACTTTCTTCCCAACTCTGAGGCTTCAAGGCCCCATAGTGTGGGAGATGTGCATGTAAAATAAAAGCTTACTCTCCAAAACATTCATTCTTTATAAGAATGTGATTTCTTTTGCCTATCTGACAGATTCTGGTGGCTAATTGAGATAATGTGATCTTTTCACTGCAGTTGTTATTGAAGTCCCATAATGTAGCCTAGATCTAAACTGGAGTCACAGCTTAAGAAGCAGTTTAAATTGGACTGTGTTGAACTCTGGGTTGCTGTGGCTCTTCTGAATGCAGTGTGGATGTACCAAGAAAAAATTGAAAAAAAAAAAAGCATTAGCTGAAATTTGACGTCTATGTACTGTTTGTTTCTTATGTTAAAGGGACTTGGAGAAGGAGGATTCTTTTTTAACTGAGGAAAAGGAAAAACTAGAGGATCTTTTACTGTATGAATTGCATAGAAAATTCAATACTTGGCTTTATAATTTTTTTTAATTTTGAAGGATAGACTCAGTTGTTAAAAACAAACCGTTTTCTTTGATACTCTGTCTCAAGTGAAATTTCTTATGTGCTTTGTCTCAAGTGAAATTTGTGACCCCTCTATAAATACAGACACCTGTATATTGATATCTGCATGTGCACACTCTGCAGTGGGTGTTTGTATAACTACCTATAAAAAAAAAAATCTGTTTTTTGTTCTACAGGGTATCGAGCGTCTGAAAAATCAGGAGCCGACTTGGGAAAAAGTCAGCGGCTGGGAAGGGATGAAACTGGCTTTTGGAGGCAATTTTTCCCTGAGTTGGCTCAGTCCTTTTTCAGATCTGAGTTGTAAAAAGCTTCCACCAGCTCGGGCAATGACAGTCGCTCCAGCTGAAACGCTGTCTCAAGAGGAGATTGAGCAATTTTTAGAACAAACGGTTGCTCTCCAAGTGTCAAAATATTAACAAATGTTCAGTTTTTAATAAATATTTGCTCCCGATATTTAGCACTAAGAGATAATAGTGCAGAAAACATTCAGGCATATTTTATCCAGAAGTCAGGTACGCTACTAGCAGAAGCAATGCAAATCTCTACAGAATGCTCTACTAATGTAATGTATAAGCTTTTTTTTTTTCCTTCCTACCAAAGTCAATTGTTTTATTGAACTTTCTCAGCTTGGCCTTTAAGAGAAGCTTACAACTTGTCAGGCAGATCTATTCCAGCTCCTAAAAGTAAGCTGCTGTCAACATGCGCTTAATATTTTACTCATAACCCATATGAGTGCTGAAAGGCAAGCAAAGAGCAACAGCTCTGCTCAACACACTCCTCGGTGTACATTAAAGGGGTACCCTTTTTTTTTATTAGCTTGCCAGGCATTGATGATTTCTTTGGGCTGTGAGGGTACCAGTCCGGGTTTTGGCTGCAGTAGACTCAGGCGAGAGAGAGAGAGAGTCATATTCATCCCTGGTGTAACTCAGTTTTGCCAAGGATAAATTTAGCTCAGTGAGACTTTAATGACTGCACCAGGGATCCTGCTACTTAAGGGTCTGACCTATTGTGCATTCAGGTTGATGGCAGCCTTTCCATTGACCTGAATGGACTTTGAATCTGCAGTGCAGATGGTTGTGTTGGCAGCCACAACAGATCAACCTGGTATGTTGCTATTTGGCAAATGCAACAAATACACATATCTCAGTAGCAAAGAAATCCGCCAGGTCAGAAAGTCTGCCAAATTATGCCGTTCATGGCAGAATAGATCTTAAAAGGAAAACTGCAGGGACTAATTACATGGGTACCATGAAAGTGTTAGCACTTCATACCATGCTGATATCTGCTGTTCTGTAGTACTTACTTAAACTTCAGTATTTTAAATACTGTGTTGTCAACTCTTGGTTAGTTGTTGACTTTTAAAAAGTGACCACTATGTAACATGTTAGTTGTACAGTTGAACTTAGTAAGTATACAAGAGTACATGACGGTGTGACATAAGGCTTCATCACTGTAAGCTGGAAGGGCCATGCTGCTCACAGTAAAGTCAAATAAGCTGGGTAAGCCAGAGATGTCCAATTTATTTGGGCCTGCAGGCTGCATCTGGCCCATGGGGGCTTCGCAGAGGCTGGACGACCAACCTCTGGTGGAGGAGCAGTGGCTTCTCAGGATGGCTGCTGGAGCCACTGCATTAGTGTGGTTCCAGAACCCAGGTGATGAACACTGCTGTCAGTTTGCCTCATCTCCCCTTATCTGCTGCTGATTTTTGCATCACAACTGGTGACCAAAAATCCTGAATTTGGCAGACACAATTGGTGGGGAAGTGGAAACAGTGGTTGGGTTCCAGGATTGTGGGCAGTGTAAGCTGCTCCCAGAGCATGTCGGTAAAACCTCTGCATGGCTCTCGATTGGTATTACATTCCATATATTCCAGATGTTAAAAGTTACTCGATGAAAATTTTAGATTACGTTTTGTTTTCTGTTTTGCTTTTTAAACAGTAGAAGCCACGTATCTGCTACCATCAGGAAATCCTGCAGACCCTTAGAGAGCTAGTGTGGCTCTGCCACTAGCTTCCTGAGTGACTTGGGGAAAGTCACTTCACCTTGCTGTGCCTCTGTTCATCTCTGTAAAACAGAGATAATGCTGATTACCTCTTCTGTAAAGTGCTTAGGGACCTATGGATGAAGACTATTAGTTCATCACATTCTTCAATGATGATTTTTAGTGATTATAAGAGTGGTACCAAATAGAAATTGTACACGCTGATCTACGTGCAAAATATTTAAAGTTAATATGTGGGAATGGTGTGTCACAAGAGTCCTGGTCAGAGATGGGATTATTTCTTGAGTCCTGTCATCAGCCAGAGAAGAAGCTCATAGATTCCCTTTATATTATATGACATGGATTGGCATGTCTTGAACCTACCAGCAGCTTCTACAAGTAGAGCTTGTTAAAAAAAACAACAGGAAAGCTTTTAGTAAAGATGCTCACAAAAACTGCCTCTGTTTTTATCAGAAAGATTTAACATTTTTTCTAAGAGCTTTCATTTAAACAAATTAAGAATTCACTTTGTTCATAAATCACTTAATTTGGCACTTGTGTAGAATGAGTTTCTCTTTCATCGTCGGAAACAAACAGAACATTTCTTCCACAAACTCTTTGTTCTGCAGCTCTATGATCAGGCTAAAGGGAGAAGATGTAGTGCTTTTGCATCTAAAATGCATTTGTACCAGACAGGGCTTGACAGCCAGGGAGCAAATGGAAATATTTAAAAATACACATAGGGGAGTTGATAAAGGGGGACAGAGGACATATAAGGAGAAATAACTGCACTTAACTCACATATTGTAATTTTGGGTTGCTGTTTTGTCTTAACTAAGTCAGTTAACCAGTCTGCCTCAGTTACCATACCGTTAAAATGGGAAAAGCATTACAAGCTTATTAAAGACTGACTAGTTAATATCTGCAGTGTAAGTTACTTTAAAAATGTAATTTGAAAATTACTTTGAAACACAGCATCTGTGTTACTTATGAACAGTGGAATGGTAAAAGGGTGTCAGCTTTGCTTGTGGGAAATGTACAGACTATTCCATCCTAAATGGGAGCAACTGACCCATGTTTGTTACGTGTTTACTGAAATAAAATGTTTACGGGTACTGTATTTGTGAAAACGCGTTCTATTTACGGGAGTATCCAGAAGTTCAGCTATAAGTCCTTCTGCTTCAGAAATCACTTTCAAGTAATATTTTGAGGTACTATTTCCACCTGGCTTGAACATATGAGAAGTGAGAGTCTGGCCACGCTAATATTAATGTCAAAACTTCCATTGACTTCAATGACCTAGGACTTCAGGTCAGAGGTTACTGTTTCTAATTGTGTTCCAGTGACACTTTGTCTGAACAAACGCCCCCCGTCCCACCAAATAAATAAAACCAACCACAAACTGAACTGTTTTTTGCTTAGTGAAAGAAGGGAATGATGTTTTTCACTTTTTTTATACTTGTTTTCATCATTTTGTTGGGACTTGTATGTTACCATTGTTATGTACCTCTTATTTGAAACTTGGGAGCAGAATAGAAAAAAAAAAGTATGGGCACTGGGCAGGGAACAAGGCAAATTACTCAAATGAAGGGTGACTAGCTATGGTTTTTCAGACCCAGGGGAAATGAGAGAGCAGAGTTGTATTTGAGTTATTCTGTTCTCAACACAGAATTAGGCATATGCTCCGAGCGAGAGTGGAAATTCTTGTTTGGCCTCAACTAGAGCTGGTCAGAAATTCTTGTTTGTTGATACTGAAAATGTCAGTTTGTGAAAACCAAATCTTTTCTCTGGAACCTATGTGTCTCAATGAACCTCCTGGTGAAACCGCGTTGTGCAGGTCAAGTATAGACATCTGGTCAGGATGAGACTGACCAGCCCCAGTCTGTTGAGCAGCCTGGGGATGAAGTCTCCCGCCTGTAATGTAGAGGATGCAAGTAGAAGTGCTTCCTCGGCCCTTTGAGCTTCAGACAGGTGCCTTAGCTACTAAGCTACTGTCTGCTCTGGGCTCTTCCCTCCTCTTTTGTGACAAACTTTGAGAAGTTTGTGGTTTCACTTTTGAAATGTCAGTTTTTCACAGGATGGGTGAAGCGTTTCCTGCCCAGGAGTAGCCTCAGCCTGTATTTGAGTGGGCTTTTTTTGGCACCCAAGACCAACATTTTTATTTAACTTTTAACCAAATTCAGATTATTAACCAAAGCTACCACAGGTGATCACTGCATAACCCATGTTTTCCTTCCTTCCAAAGTGTGGCTAGTCCTTGTCAAATGTCTCTCTTAACTCAGGGCCTGATCCTCCCAACACTATTCTTCACAATACAATTGTAATCCACAGACATACAAGTCATAAAAAAGCCTTAGGCCTCAATGGCAAGCATTAGTAGGATGTTGTCCTTAAATTGGAAGCTCTTTGGGGGTCAGATCTTCTGTTGTATGTTTATACCGTTGTATCAATACTAATTACTCTGTGATATTTTATTCCACCAACAGTGTCTCTTAAATGAAAAACCTAAATGAACATGCTTTGCTGAAAACTGCCTTCCAGAGAAAAATGTTTCAGCAGAAGTTTTAAAATATATTATGAACAGGGCTCTGTCAGCTAAGGAAAGCATTCATGTGTTTTATATACATTTGTGTGTCTTGTAAAGCAACTGTTCTATGCAGATAAAATAACTTTATGCAACTAAAAAAAAGTTCTATTTTGCTATTTGTAACTCATTTTATGCCTTCCAATAGATATTGTACTTATTAAAGAATTAATATTTCCATCTACCTCAGGTGTGTATATTTACATATTCCCAGCAGTTGGTCCTGCTTTCATGCCAACGTGTTCATTGTCTGCATTCTCTCTGGGGAGCTCCCTCCCCTGGCAGTAATCCTAGACTGCAAAACTAGCATGTGGTGTGGGTTAGAAAGCCATTCTTGCAAGGTTCTGGAACAGCCAAATAATCAGAGCAATGAGAGACAAAAACCCAACCTCATTTCAAGATGAAGCATAACTGAGACCATGCGATGCAGTTGCCTGGCATTTCCTTCTAATCTTGTGGTCCTGAATCTATAACTCACAACACAGAGCTGGTAAAAAGAATATTCAATATTTTGACAATATTTCTCATGGCATTTTTCTGCCCCGTTCTAATTAGTGGAGAGTTCATTCATAGGGGCTGATCACCCACCCTTGCAGAAATAATCAGAGATGACTTGGGAAGGGGAGGGTTAAACAAAGATCTCTTTGTGCAGTTCCAACTCAGTCTTTGGGGGCTAGGGACAGAAGTTGCAAACAAATCGGTTTAAGTGATCAGAAATTGGTATAAGCCTGTAACAGAATATAAGTTCAGTGCACATTAACCAGTTTCAAAATGGCCAAAACTGGTTTAAGATACTACATTCAACCAGCTGTATCAGACTCATCTGATTTGGATCAAACTGGTTTAGGAAACTTTGGTCCCAGACCTGGATGGTGAAGTTTACCTCAGCATTGCACCTCCACCTCTGAACTTGGTAGATCCCCCTGGAGTTTATAGAAGGTAAAGGCTAATTACGTGAAGGCCTTGTGCATCCACACTGGTTATCTGGCCTCTTTTGGCAGGGCATCCCATTTAGAGCTTAAAGAAAGTATCACAAAGGTTTGCTACAGAAAATTTAAAAATGCTTTATTATTTCTACTTGGAGCCATGGACAGGCAGTTCTGCACTCAGCTTAGCAGCAGTGTGGCAAGAAACTAGCAGTGGCAGCAGCTACTATTTTTGCATCGCCCTCCCCACCATGTCTGTACCCAGGACTGGTACCTTGCTGCTCCCCTCCCCCACAACCTTACTTATGCTTTTGTTTCTACTGGGTGATTGCCACCTCTTTTAGCCTCAAAAAGCAGGGAAAATGGATATCTGACCCTTTTTCCATGTAGGAGCTGAATGGAGGAGGTCTGCACCCAGAAAAGAATTTCTCCAGGTGAAAGGAACAAACTGTGGGTATAAACTTTCCAAACCCATGAGGCAGACGAGTTCTTTTGACCAGCAGCATTACTACCTTGGGCTGTGATGTTTGTATCTCCTGTGTCAAAGATCTGAATAGTAGGCCTGTGCAAAGTGGCTAGTATTTGCTTCGGATTTGGATTTGGCCGATTCAGGGGACAGTGATTTGATTCAGTGATTCGAATCACTGTCCTGATTCAATTCGGCCGAATCCGATTCAGAGATTCGGCAGCAACTGAATCAGCCAGGTCAGGCCCAACGCCCGCCCCCCTCCCAGCCCAGCAATGGCTGCCCCGCCCACTCCAGCTCTCAGCACATGGCGGGGGGGAAAAAGCCTCGGCTTAGCAGGCGGTGCTGGGCAGGGGGTGATCCCATGCTGCATGGAGGGCTCTGCACGAGCCCCCAAACCGGCCCCCCCCAGCCGTCTCATGGGTGCCCCGCATGGGCCAGCTGCAGCCCCTTAAGAAAAAAAAACACCTGAAGAAACCCCAGGACTTGCCACTCCTGCCGGCAGGGGACGATCCCCGCTGCCCTGCACCACGTGGGGGGTTCTGCAGGAGCCCCTGAAGCCCCGAGGCTGCACCAGGAGCAGTGAGTCCCGGGGCTTCTCTCTGCTTTTTTTTTCTTAAAGGGCCAGAGCCCTGGCAAGCGGAGCTGCTGGGGGAGCAGGGGGGGTTGGGG